TTAAGACTAATTTATCATGATGATTAACTTAGATTTCCATTCGTGAATCCAAAATGTACATTACGTAATAAACAGCATAATATTTTTTTGTTTTGATTTGGTGGTTCAACGTCTATAAACGTCAAAAATTATAACGCAAAAAACTGGATCTTCCGGTGGGACAGCGACTTACAACTCTAACCTCCGGGGTTCAGTCCTCCGCTGTGGACACCAATGGGGTTTTGCCCTAAAATAAATCAACTAAAAGTTGAGGTTCAATACCTGCTGGGAGCACAACACAGATATCTCCTTGTGTAACTTTGCACATAAAAACAATATTTGAGAGATGATTATTAAAGGTCATTTTCTTATTAAGATTAATGTTAAGTCTAAGCTCCATTTTTAGAAAAGAAGGCTCATTGGGAGAACAATATGAAGAATTTGCTTGGAATCACTATAATGGAGACTAAGAAAAGTATCAAATTTATGGTTTATTAATAACTTATTGCTTAAACACGGCCGGAATGTTCGATGTGGCCACTGGGCCCTGACCCATGTCCTAAGGAGGCCCAGAAAAACCGAACTGTGATCTATGTTCATATTCTTGCATTAGTGTCTTTATTTTACACCTTAAGCAAAAATGTTTTTAATCGAGTTTTATATTTTAAATGAGTTTGAAAAAAACTAATCTGTAGAAATTTAAAATATATAATGTACATAGCTGTATATTCTTTAAGTTTAAACCATGATTAAGTTTCATTAACTTGATTAAATTTAAATGAAAATAAAATTTAATTAAGCCCCCTTTTCTAGGTCCGCGCATTTCTTTCTTTTTCCTTTTTTGATTGTCTGTTGTTGTTTTGCTGCTTAGCATTTGTTTCATTGTTAATATAGGTTTCTACATATTGATTTCCACATAGATCAATTTTGTTATAAATTTGATCGTTGATAAAGCTTGTAAATATAATCTAAAAAGTATGTGCTGTGGTTGGAGGCCAATTTTTTTCGGACCCATCTTTAATTAATCCGTTACTTTTAGGAAGAAATGGCGCCATTTTCAGTTTGCTCTTTTTCTCACTTTGCATTATTGCTGGTGCCATTTTTTTAATTGCGCAAAGACAATTGATACCTTGGTGCATTACCTGAGAGAACTCTAAGTAATGATCTGCCGCGTTGGCGGAGTGACATGCATAGGTCACCGTTGTATGTATACGAGGTAAACATCATGCAATATACTCATTTAGGAATGATCCAGAAGCCAAAAAAAAAAATTTTATAGTTTCCAATTTATACTATAATAATGGTATATGGAAAAAACATCACATATATAAATAACTAACTTATAGGTAACACACTTCTAAGATATACACCAAACGTCACCTATAACTATGAGAGAAATACGTAGGCCAAGAGATAAAAGTCGCAAACCCGGATGTTCCTTTATGAAACCTTTAGGATATCTATTATCTTTAGTGAATTCTTACCAGAAGCGTTAGGCCTATTATCGGTACCATTTTTTTTTATCGGGGAATTCATATAAACCTGGCCTAATGTAAGTGTATAGGCCTAACGTTAATCCAACTAGCTTAGTTATTAAGTGATGTTAGTTAATTTTAACATTATCTTATTATTTCTTCAACTTCAAAATTGGCTTATGAATACAAAAGCATGTCTGAGGTTAACTTTTCTCTTTGAACAATCGAAAAGCCATTAACTTACATATATATATATATGTGTATATTGATAAACTTTACAAAGCGTTAAAAATCACCTTTTCAAACTATAAATGTACAATGTAATATTTTGTATTTTTCTTATGCTAAGGTTAAGCCTGCTTTAATAATTGCAATTTGGATGAAATAAGTGCTTTAAAATGCACTAGCAGAGGAGTCTATGCATGATTTTCACTTTGTCTTAATGCAAACATTAATTTCCACTTTGTTCAAAATAACCCATCTTGCAAAAGATAACTTACCTCTTCCACAATTTCATCGACAGTTTTGTGTCTAGCGTTAATTGGAAGTTTTGACCCTTCTGAATAAGATGAATTGGTAGAAAGGTGAATGAACATAATAAGTTTCGCGTGTTGCTCCTGAGGCACTATGACCTTAGGCTTTCCACTTTGCTTTAAAATTAGCGCGTCATCATCTTTCCGAACGTCCATCCTTTTTGACCAAGATTTAAACTTATTTTGGAGGGACTTACGGTTAGTTTTGGCGCCATTTTGAAATGTAGGAATCAGGTCTTCTAACTCTTTACTCTCTGGAACGTAGCGACGACCTTCTTTGATATATTTGATGAATAATTTATGCAATTTTTCGGTTAAAAGGAAACCACTGCTGGTGACATATCTTGAATAAAACTTAACAATTTGTTTCGGGGATGACATCTTACCACATTTAAAAATTAAAATATAATCACATCCAATTTCTGCTTACTTAAATATGCCAAATATGCGGATCGTGTGCTTTATAATTTACTTGAATCACTTCACGTGCTAGATCGGCATGTTAAAGAGCTACAACACGAAAGACGGCGCTCGTGCTCGACGTTTGTACACCTGTTGGTTGCTAGGTTGGTTTGCAAAATGTTGATGACTAGATTAGGGTTAACATTGTTAGCTAAATTGGAAATTTATGCTAACTTCCACAAGTTCTAGTAATATCAAGATTATAGATTTTAAATAATACAAATAAGCTTAAGTAGCTCAATGTGTAGAAAATATTTTACTGAGGTAGGATTTCGCTTTTTTATGCTTTGTCTTATTGAGTTAATCAAGTAGCATGACGTAGATTACGCGTTAAGTTACTTACTCTAACTAGTCCCAATTAGTTGTGGATAAACTAATTTAGTAATTAAGTATAAAATAGCTTCCATTTTTCATTACGCTACTGTATGTTGACACAAGATACTGAAACTGTGAAAATGAAATTGAAAGTAAAATGCAAACGTTATACTTTTCAAATTCAAATTATTATGAATTGAAGAGAAACCTGGGATGTATCTACAAAAATATTGAATACAACTCTAAAGAAGTTTATATTCGTTGTTAAGGTCATTGGTTAGGCCACATTTTAAGTATTGTTTATTTGTGTTCAATCTTGAGGTCCTTACCTCAGAAAGGATTATTATTGGACAGAGTTCATGTTCAGGGGAGGGCTACTAGGAGTGGAACTATAAGTTAGCACACGAAAAAGAGAAAAGTTAGATACAATTTGATTGAGGTATTTAAGATTGTTAAGGGAATTGATAGTGTTGATGCATAAATTTTTTATTTTTTTTAATGGTGAGAATGTTAAGAATAGGGGACACATAAATTTTGGCAAGGGAAGAAGTCATCTTCAGTTAAGACAGCTTTATTCTCCTAACAAGTTGGTTGGCCTCTGGAATGGGTTGCTTTTTGATGTGATAGATGCAATTAAACTAAGGGAAAACTTGATAAATATTTAAATGATAAGAGGTGGCTTTGAGTTTTTTCTTGTTTAGTTTAATTAGTGAATAGGTCGGCCTGGAAGGACTAAATGGGCCCTTGTTGCTCTTTAATGTTATGTTATAAACTGTTGTTTAGTAATAATAGTTTATAATAAATCTTTTCTAATTTTTGCAATTACAACTGCGTGGGTTATTACTAGTTTCACCTTAGTCTAGCACTAACAACTATATCATACTAGGCCTAGATCATTTAAGCAACAACCAATTTTCTTGTCTAGTTCAAAGGTAAATTTCAAGTGCATTAGGTGAGATTACTGTAAAATGGAGCATAAAATTTATGTCTTGTGTCTAGTGGACATTAAAATCTTGAAATCATGAGGAAGTAAACAATACATTTACGTTTGTATTTGCAAGGAAAGTAAATCTTTCATTTGTTTTCTCTTATATAAAAGAACTTATTCATAAATTTTTGTAACCATAGCCTTATGTTTCACCATCTAGATTATCAATTTCTAGTTTTTATATGAAGATTTGTAAAAATGCAATTCAGGATATTAAACTCATTTCTTGTTCATCGCTGCACTTCAATTATCTCTAATATAATGCCATTTATTTTTAAAAAATCATAAAAACACCTAAAAACCAATTTTGTAAGTCAGATGAAATATACAGTTAAAATTTCTCAAGTGCTGTTACATTGGGCAGAAAAGAAAATAGATGTTTTTTAACACATTGATATTTTTACTATAATAAAGAGACTAATTTTGTAAAAATATTCTAAATGAAGCATTATAAGGATCAGTGACAACCATCTTAT